CAGTAAGATTGACTATTCACCATTCTACAGTTAAATATTCATATTCCACTTCAGTATGTAAATATTTTTGTTATTTTTAGTGGACAGACACTCCGGACTTGACCATGCATTCATGCTCAAATATAAATTAGTTCATTCAAAAATATTTATTAAGCATTAACAAGCCCACTTCTCAAGGAAGAAGTCAATTGATAAATGACATTGTACATAAATGAAATGCCAGATAGTGGAAAATGCTACAAAGAAAAACAAAGCAGGAAGACAGCACAAGGAATAAAGGAAGAGAAATTCTATTTTAGGTATTCCATACAATAGCAATCTCTGAGAGCGTTAGCCTTCTTATTGCCACATTTTCTGTTACAAAGTAAACAAACACACAAACAAACATAGTCCCCTACCATGTTTAGTACTTAGAATATACTAAATAAGTCAATAAAAAATATATCTAACATACAACAATATTTAACTCATTTAATAAATTTTACTAAATAGATACTGAGAGGAATACATGTAAACAAAAAAAATGTGTAATAAAACATTATTTCCTGCCTTCAAGGGACTTGAAGTCTAGTGAAAGAATAGGATATACATTAATCTAATGAAAATATATTTCATAAATATTCAGTGGTCTTTCCGAGCATAATGATGGTAAGAGTCTGGTGGGAAGGGGAAGATTTTATTCGATAACATTCAACTAACACTTGTGTGTTTGTATTTGCTAAGTGAAGATGGGTCAGAGATAAGAAAGATTTCAGAAGGAGGCTAAGGAGAGATGGAACAAGCAGAGACATGAAAGCTTTAGCCTAAAGCTGCCTCACGTATTTTAAGTTCAGCCTAAATTTTTCTCTGTACTTAGTAAATTGTAACCTAACTGGATGTGTAAACTAACTGTACTCCACTCTTGTGCCAATGACTGAGTTTTGGCAAATCAGAGGTGGCCAACTCTCCAAACCAGGTTCAAATAATGCAAACACTGAGCTCTAGCCAATCTGGCTGTTTCTGTAACTCACTTCCATTTTGTGTATGTCACTTTCCTTTTTCTGTCTATAAATCTTCTATCATGTGTGCTGCTGGAGCCTCTGAACCTTTTCTGGTTTGGGGGCTGCCTGATTCATGAATCATTCTTTGCTCAATTAAACTCTGTTAAATTAAATTTGTCTAGGGTTTTTTATTTTAACAATAAACCAGTAAAATTAAATAAATATTTCCCTGATGTTTGTGAGCAGTTATAGCAAATTACTCAACATGAGAAAGGATTATAGGAATCCCTGATTTATAGCCAATTGGTCAGAAGTACAGGTGACAACCTGGGGCTTGTAATTGATTTCTCAAGTGGAGGACAGTCTTGTGGGACTGAGCCCTTAATCTGTGAAGTCTGCACCAACTCCAGGTAATTAGTGTCAGAGTTGAGTTAAACTGTAGGACATTGAGAAAATTAGAGAATTGGTTGGTATGGAAAGCCCACACATTTGGAGTCTGAAGTGTTGTGAGTATAGAAAAACAGTTTTTCCTTTACTGGTGCTTTGAGTGTCTTTGCTACTTTTTGCAACTCAGAGCTGGCTGCAGGGAGCCAGAGTAGCTTTGTTTGGAGCTTCAGCTGCATAGAGAAGATTCTGGAAAAAACCCCAAAAATCAGCCCTTACCATTCTCTTTCTAAAACATGAATATCCAACAGACAACTTTTATATCCAGCCAAATTTCCATCAGACACTTAAAACTCAACATATCAAAATCTGAATCTATCATCTTCTCTCTTTCTTTTCTGTTCTACCGTGTTTCCTATCTGGGCAAATGTCATTATCATGCTCCTGGCTGCCTTGGCCAGAAACGTGGGAATCATTCTTCCTGAATATTTCCTAGCTTCTTAATCTCACTGTAATTCAGTTTCTATTGATTCTACATTCTACGTGTCTCTGGTACCCATTTCCACTTTTTTTTTTTTTTTAAATAAAATGATGTGAAAATTCTCTCATATCTATTTTTCCTTATTAGTTATATGAAATGATATTTTTAAGGAGGGCTGGGATTTAAAAAAATTAATTTTGTAAATCTCAAAATTAAACAGAGAGAAAATGTATACCTTAACGATAAAAGTTTAATTGTTCATAAAATATAAGAAATATTGGAAGCGTGTCATTTGCTCCTCAAAAAGATTTTTTTTGTTATTATACTATAAATTGTGGGATATATGTGCAGAATGTGCAGATTTGTTACACAGATAAACATGTGCCATGGTGGTTTACTGCACCCATCAATCCGTCATCTACATTAGTGAGTTTTCATTGTTCAACTCCCACCTATGAGTGAAAACATGCAGTGTTTGGTTTTCTGTTCTTGTGTTTGTTTCTTGAGAATGTTGGTTTCCAGCTTTATCCATGTTCCTTCAAAGGACATGAGCTCATCCTTTTTTTTTGGCTGCATAGTATTCCATGGTGTATATGTGCCTTTTTTTTTTTTTTTTTTTTAATAAGGAAAAGAGGTTTAATTGGCTCACAGTTCTGCAGGCTGTGCAGGCCACATTTTCTTTATCCAGGCTACCATTGATGGGCATTTGAGTTGGTTGCAAGTCTTTACTATTGTGAGCAGTGCTGCAATAAACATATATGTGCATGTATCTTTATAACAGAATGATTTATAATCCTTTGAGTATATACCCAGTAATGGGATTGCTGGGTCAAATGGTATTTCTAGTTATAGATCTTTGAGGAATCGCCACACTGTCTTCCACAATGGTTGAATTAATTTACACTCCCACTAACAATGTAAAAGTGTTCCTATTTCTTCACATCCTCTCCAATATCTGCTGTTTCCTGACTTTTAATGAATGCCATTCTAACTTTTTGATGGGGTTGTTGTTTTTTTCTTGTAAATGTGTTTAAGCTCTTTGTGGATTCTGGATATTAGCCCTTTGTCAGATGGATAGATTACAAAAATTTTCTCCCATTCTGTAGGTTGCCTGTTTACTCTGATGGTATATTCTTTTGCTGTGCAGAAGCTCTTTAGCTTATAGATTCCATTTATCAATTATGGCTTTTGTTGCCATTGCTTTCAGTGTTTTTGTCATGAAGCCTTTGCCCATGCCTCTGTCCTGAATGATGTTGCCTAGATTTTCTTCTAGGGTTTTTATGGTTTTAGGTCTTATGTTTAAGTGTTTAATCCATCTTGGGTTAATTTTTGTATAAGGTGTAAGGAAGGAATCCAGATTCGGCTTCCTGCATATGGCTAGCCAGTTTTCCTAGCATCATTTATTAAATTGGGAATCCTTTCCCCGTTGCTTGTTTTTGTCAGGTGTGTCAAATGGTTGTAGATGTGTGGTGTTATTTCTGAGACCTCTGTTCTGTTCCACTGGTCTATATATCTGTTTTGGTACCAATACCATGCTGTTTAGTTACTGTTGCCTTGTGGTATAGTTTGAAGTCAGGTGGCATGATGTCTTCATCTTTGTTCTTTTTGCTTAGGATTGTGTTGGCTATGTGGGCTCTTTTTTGGTTCCATATGAAATTTAAAGTAGTTTTTTCCAATTCTGTGATGAAAGTCAATGGTAGTTTGATGGGGATAGCATTGAATCTATAGATTACTTTGGGCAGTATGGACATTTTCACGATGTTGATTCTTTCTATCCATAAGCATGGAATGTTTTTCATTTGTTTTTGTCCTCTCTTATTTCCTTGAGCAGTGGTTTGTAGTTCTCCTTGAAGAGGTCATTCACATCCCTTGTAAGTTGTATTCCTAGGTATTTTATTCTTTTTTTGTTTTAAGGCTACCTAACAATTACAATAGCCTCCTGAAAAGTCTCTCTGCAGTCTCCTTTATCTTTCCTTAGTTTATCCATTTACTCATTTATTCAATAAATATTTACCAAGGATCTATTATGTGTAGAAACTGTTCCAGCCATTGTCTTGTAGAATTGAACAAAGACAAAAATTCTTGCCCCCATGGATTTTATTTTCTAGAGGGAGGAGACAATAAAATATATAAGTAAATAATATAGTATATTAGAATTGAGGCTGGGCACAGTGGCCTAAAATCCCAGCACTTTGGGAGGCTGAGGTAGGAGGATCTACTGAGCGCAAGAGGTCAAGAGCAGCATGGGCAACATAGGAAGACCCTGTCTATATTAAAAAAAAAAAAGAAAAAGAGAAAAAGAAAAGAAAATAATATGTATTCACAAAATTGACAAAACAGGGGAGGAAATAAGAAGGTTGGGGGAGGGAGATGAAATTTTAGATAGGATGGTTTCACTGCAAATGTAGCATTTTGGAGGGTATTGATGAAACCACGTTTGCAGAGATTATGAGAGCTAGAGGAGTCTAGCATGGCTGACTTCATCTCGCTTCTAGCCTCACTGTCTCGCTATCTTTGTTCACTCCTGCTGGTAGGCCAAGCTAACCATGGAAGGAAGTTAGATTATAGTTTAACTTTAAAGGAAGGATGATAGTAGTCCCTCCATAAAACTGATCCCTCCTTGTTTGGCAACTGAAACTGCCTTTATAAGGCTGATAAAAGACAGCAAGTTAGAATTATGAGAGGGGTCTGAAGGCTGCTAAGATATAGATGTAGCTAAATGATAACCAGCCATTGTCCCCTAGCTTGTTTTTCTATAATCCCTTACTGATCAAGAGTCATATCATATGGCCAGAGATCCTAAGATTTTTGTCCTCTCCCGTTGCTCATATAGATAACATCACCATGATACTAGGTTTGTGTGCAAATAATTGTGTTTTTTGCCATTAAAAGTGATGGCATCTACCTAATAGAACTTAGGATGGGTCTTTTGAGATACTTTTCAGACTTTTACTTTCTAACATATTTATGTCTCATTGCAAACCTCTCAGTTCAGACTAGGATTTGCAGCATCTCTCCACGGTTTCTTCAATAACATTCATTAAGTGACTGACACCACCTAGATCCATAACTGTGCCCCCACCCAAAGGCAGGCTCAGCACACGAAGACTGTTTTCCATACCCCTATGATTTCATCCCCAACCAATCAGCAGCACCCATTCCCTAGACCCATGCCCACCAAATTATTCATGAAAACCCTAGCTTCTAAGTTTATTAGGAGGGCTGATTTGAGTAATAAACTCCTGCCCTTTTGCTTGTCTGCTCTTGTGTTAAGTAACCTGTTTCTTCACTGCAATACTGCGGTACATTGGCCCTATCTATGCAGCAGGCAAGACGGACTCATTGGGTGATAACATTTAGAGGACTAAGCAGTGAAACATGCAGGATCTGGGTGACAGGTATTACTAAGAAGGAAGAGTAGGCACAAAGTCCTGGAGGTGGACCAGTGCCTTGCATTTTCTGGTGGTTGGAAAGAAGTGAAACAGGCAAAAGGGGGACAGCAGGACCAGAAGAGGTAAGAGAGTGACCGGGAACCAGATCATGTAGAACTCTGCAAGTCATAGCACGTACCTAGGCTTCTGTTTCTCTGATATGGGAAGCCTTTGGAGGTTTTGAGCAGATGTCATTATCTGGGTTACATTTTAACAAGATAACTCTTGTGGCTGTGCTGAGACTGGACTGTAGGAGGGTAAAGCCAGAAGAAACAAATGGTTAGGAGGCTGTTACCATAATGTCATCCTCCGACGCAAAATTCTCCAATGAGTTCCCAACACAGAATAAAATTAAATTCTTTTGAATAGCTTTTAAGGTTAGTCATGATTTGGTGCCTTCGCCATTTTGACCTCGTTTCCTGCTCCTACTGCCACTCACCTCCCCATCATTCTCTCGTCTGATTGATAGCCTTTGAAGTGCTTATGAGTTTTCAGGTCATGGTTGAAATGCTTCATTTTCCATTGAAGATGTCTCTGTTTTTTCCTATGCCCCCATCTCATATGGAGATGTGAACACTTGTTTCTTTCAAGGTTAGGTTTTTGGCTCTCTCCCTACTAGACCATGCACTTCCTAAGGTTAAGGACTCTGCTTTGCATCCTGTTACGCAGAAATGAAAAAAAGAAAAAAAGGTTAAATTAATGACTTTACTATGGAATACGTGTTGGCTTTCTTTCTCTATACAGTACTGGTTTAGGGGGCAGTAATGGAGAGGAAGCATTCAGCTTTGATACCATGTGAATTCTTTATTCTCTTTTTTCACCTTCCTCTGAAAAAAATCTAGAAGCCACTGAAGTTCTTCTTCTGGGATGGCAGGGGAAAGGAGGCAAGGCACAAGTCTTTATGTATCTGCCTGTATCTGCTAATGTCATCTCCATTAAGAACAAAACCAGAAACCAGTTAAACCTGCTGGGTACAGTGAGTCATGCCTTTAATCTCAGCACTTGGGAGACTGAGGCAGGAAAATCTCTTGAGGCCAGGAGTTCTAGGCCAGCCTGGGAAACATAGCACGACCTTGCATCTAAAAAGTTTTTTTTAATTATTATCTGGACCTGGTGGTGAATCTGTAGACCCAGTTACTCAGGAAGCTGAGGTGGAAGGATGACTTGAGCTTGGGAGTTTGAGGTTACAGTGAGCTATGATCACACCACTGCACTCCAGCCTGGGTGACAGAGTGAGACCCTGTTTCTAAAATAAAATTGATCAGTTAACTAAATCCCTTTCTATTGTTCTTTGTAGCAATTCTATACCAGAGTTCTGCCACAAACATGCCAAAAGAAAGAGCAAAAGGGAAGAAGGTAAAAAGTGACTTTTGTCTAGCTGCTACTTTATAATGCGCTGTGGTTATTTACTTATATATTTGTTTTGTTGGTGGAAAGAATTGCCCTGGGCATATAGGTTAGGCATAACCTTAATTTCATCGTTGACATAAATGTTTATTTTATTCAAATCTCCAAGAATACTATTTTATAAGGTTTAAGAAATGCATTTCTTCAAACTCTTGCAAAGCATTTTTCCCCAAATATTAGTGCCTAAGCTGTTTGTTCTCAGCTGCTTCTACATATTTATTTTCTCATTGCAAACCTCTCAGTTGAGACTGGGATTTGCAGCATCTCTCCACAGTTTCTTCAGTAACATTCATTAAGATACTCTTTTGTCTCATCTTGTAGATCGTTAATGAAGCTGTTAACTAACACTAGAGTTTCATTGATTCCTGGGGCAGGGCTATGAGACACCTCTGTAATGTGATACATCGCATCTTTCCCTGGTTTTGATGTCATCAGCCCTCAGCTTTTAGCCTGTACAGAATGCTAGAGTCCAAATCCAATTCAATTTGAATTCATTTTGCAAGTAAGACTTTATTAGATACTGTATTAAGTGCTTTACTAAAATTAGGTTATGTTACATCTTCATTTTCTCTCTCTCTTTTATTAATCATGCAATTCTCATTCCCATTTAAAAAAGAAAAAAAAAGCAATGAGGTTTTCTCAGCTTGGTTTAATCTCAAAATCCAGGCTGCTTATTGCCCCTGGTTCCACTATAATCTAAATGCTTACAGATGCCATCAGCCTCTGTTTTGCTTCTCTATGAAATCAGTGCCACATCAGTTTCTATTAAAACTTTACACCTCCCTAGGCCTGAGTTGTTTTAGGCTGAAAGTCCCGCCTGATTAATGATGGTTGGAGCTGGAATTTTCCTCAGAGGCACTGGATCACGTGGTTTTCAAAGTGTATTTCATGAAGTGCTACTTCCCCCAAAGATGCCTTAGGGACCACAAGGAATGATAAGGTGGACACCCAAAGGACAAGCTTCCTCATCCCTGCTTTAACAGAGCAATAAATACCGTTTTCATCTGATTTTTGTATTAAAGCTCCATGAAGGGCCTCTGCTAGTCCACATGGAGCCTTTGCACAAGCCAGAAAATGTCACTCTTCCTCTGGGCAGACAGTCCTTCCACAGGGTTGCCATACTTTTATATAACATTTGATTTTGAGAAAGGGACTCTGATACTAAAAATTAAGTTGAAGAACCTCTACCCAAGGCCGGCCTCTTATGTTACCCAAGAATAAAACCAAAATCAGTAAGATTGACTTTTCACCATTCTACAGTTGAATATTCATATCCAGCTTCTTCTACTTGAGCATGTAGATGTTTTTGTTATTTTTAATGGACAGACACTCATGACTTGACCATGCATTCATGCTCAAATATAAATGAGTTCATTCAAAAATATTTATTAAGCATTCACAAGTGCAAACTCTCATGGAGCCTATATTCTTGAGGAAGAAGACAAGTAATAAACAAATAACATTGTACACAAATGAAATGCCAGATAGTGGAAAACGCTACCAAAAAAAAAAAAAAAGCAAAAACAAAGCAGGAAGACAGCACAAGGAATAAAGGAAGGGGAATTCTATTTTAGGTATTCCATACAATAGCAATCTCTGAGAGGGTTAGTCTCCTTAGCACGACATTTTCTGTTACAAAGTAAATAGACCAACAAACAAACATAGTCTCTCTCCATGTTTAGTATTTAGAGTATACTTAATAAATAAATAACATATATCAAACATACAATGTTTTATTCATTTAGTAAATTTTACTGAATAGAGACTGAGAGGAACACATGTAAACAAACGGGTAATAAAACATATTTCCTGCCTTCAAGGGACTTGAAGTCTAGTGAAAGAATAGGATATACATTAATTTAATGATAATATATTTTATAAATAATCATTCAGAGGTTTTTCAGAGTATAATAGTGGTAAGAGGCTGGTGGAAAGGGGAAGATTTCATTTGATAACATTGAACAAACACTTGTGTGTTTGTATTTGATAATGAAGATGCGTCAGAGATGAGAAGGATTACAGGAGGAGGCCAGGGAGAGATGGAACGAGCAGAGACATGAAAGCTGGTCTGAAATGGAGTAGCCTAATGAGACAGAAATGTGGCAGTAGGTGGAAAATGAGACCTTGAATATCATTCTAAGGAATTTTGGATTTATTCCGTAGGTGAGAGGGAAAAATGGAAGAATGTGAAGAGAAAAGTGCATGGCAGTAAAGGAGATTTGCATTCATTTTGTAGCATTTTAGGATTCTCCAGACAAATGGAATCTATAGAAGATTAGATAGAGACAGAGAGGTGGATGGATGATAGATAGATAAAGATAGATATAAATATGTGATATTATATATATGAGAGAGACAGAGACAGAGATTTATTTTAAGGCATCGTCTCACACATTGTGGAGGCTGGTAAGTCCAACATATGCAGGGTAGGGCAGAAGGCTGGAGACGCAGGCAAGTGTCCATGTTGCAGCTCAACTCCACAGGCTGTCTGCTGGCACAATTTCCTCTTCCTCAAGAAAGGTCAGTCGTTATTCTCTTAATATACTTCAGTGGATTGAATAAGACCCACCTACATCATGGAAGGAAGATAATCTGCTTTACTCAAAATCTCTTGATTTAAATGTTAATCTCACCTAAAAAATAGCTTCATAGCAATATCTAGATTAGTGTTTGATCCAATATCTGGATGATGTGACCTAGCTAAATTGACGCTTAAATTAACTATTACAGACATCTTCCCACTATCCTGTCTGTGGCCCTCAATGGACACTCAGTAATCGATTCCACCACTGGCCTCCTTCCTCAGTGGCAGGTTTATGCATAGTGTAAGTTGTGTCCTTAGCCAAGCCATGGGAATGGAGGAGGGCTCTGTCGTATTGCAAGAGAAGGCACAGTGCTGGTGCTTAGTACTTCCCCCATACTCACCTGCTGAGGAATCACCTGGACAGCTTGTTAAAATGCATATTCTGGTTTGGTAGATCTAAAGTGAGGCCCGAGATGGGCATTTTTAACAGTTACCCAGGAATGACAATGCTAGTCCATGATCCATACTCTGAGCAGGAAGGCAGTAAAATTTTTGAAGCTCTGATTTTAGCAAGATGGGTGGGAGGTAGCTGCATCTATGCAGAGAAGAGGTGACCTGAGGGTTAGCAAAAATGGCCTCTAGTGTCTACTTGAAAGCAGTGACTTGAAGGTTTTTTGTTCCTTATAGTCACCTAGAGAGCTTCTAAACCACAGATGCTCCAACTCCAGATAGTGGGACTGAGTGAGTTCAAGGCCCAAGACTCCATGTTACTCTTCAGAATAACAACACTCCCAGGTAATTTTGATGCGGATCTGAAACTACTCTTTGGGAAACACTAGTTTAAATTTTTAAGGCTCAGAAAAACTGCAAGTATATTTCTGGGGAAAAGTTCTTGGGGCACCTGCAACCACATTTTCTCAGGGGAGAAAAACACTGGAAGGATAGAAACAAATTGTGTTTAATTTAGAGTTTTACTGAGGCTTAGAGGTTATGTAGATCTGGGGAATGGTAAGTCTATTACCCAGGGAAAATTATATATGGAAAAAATATAAAATTCCTAATGAAACCAGACATGAATGCCTCTTCTGCTCCATGTTTACACAGGACAGAATAAAGAATGGGCCATATGACCTGTGTATAGATGCACAAAGTCTCTGGGTATATGGCTGATATATAGGCTACCAGAGGTACTGGGAAAAGGCCACAGGGAGACGGAAACCTCCAGCTGAACTTTGTAACAATTCAACCAAATGAGAAGTCTCCTGGCTAGAATTTTGGGGGAGGTCATGAATCCAGTGGGCAGATCCCACAGGCAGGGAAGCATGAAAGCCCTACTTGTTTTTGCAGCTGGGAGGCTGGCAGTCTGAGACAAGTTCTCAGCCCTGCTTGCCCACTGCCTGGGAACAGACTCAGTGCTGTTGCTGGAGGAAGCATGGTGGGAGTGAGACTGGCCTTTTGGGTTGTGTGGGAGCTGGGTAAGGCCTATGACTGCCAGTTTCCCCCCACTTCCCAGACAACCTGCATGACACAGTAGAGGCAGCCATAATTCTCCTAGGAACATAACTCCATTAACCTGGGAACCATACCCCCATCCCCACAGCAGCCACAGCAAGACCCACTCAAGGCGAGTCTGAGCTCAGACACAACTAGCCCTGCCCCAGCCTGATAGCCTTTCCCTACCCACCATGGTAGCTGGAGACCAAGGGCACATACTCGTGGAAGTTTAGGGCCCCAGCCACCACCAGATCCTCCCCATACTAACACAGCTGATGCTCTCTTGAAAGCATCACCTCCTAGCAGGAGACCAACCAGCACAAAAATAGTACATTAAACAACCAAAATTAAGGACCTTCACAGAGTCCATTTCACTCCCCTGCCACCTCCAACAGAGGAGATGCTGGTACCCATGAGCTGAGAGACCCACAGATGATTCACATCACAGGGTTCTGTGCAGACAACTACCAGTGCCAGCCTGGAGCCGGGTAGATCTGCTAGGTGGCTAGATCCAGGAGAGATAACTGTCACTATAGCTCAGTTCTCGGGAAGCCACATCCATAGGAAAAGGGCGAAAACCACATCCATAGGAAAAAAAGCCACATCCATAGGAAAAAAAGCCACATCCATAGGAAAAGGGCGAAAACACCCCAGGGGACAAAAGAATCTGAACAACAGACTTGAGCCCTAAACCTTCCTTCTGACAGAGCCTACCCAAATGAGAAGGAACCAGAAAACCAGCTCTGGTAATATGGCAAAACAAAGTTCTTTAACAGGCCACCAAAATCACACTAGCTCACCAGCAATGGATTCAAACCAAGAAGAAATCTCTGATGTACCTGAAAAAGAATTCAGAAGGTCAGTTATTCAGCTAATCAAGGAGGTACCAGAGATGAGTGAAGCCAAATTTAAGGAAATCAAAAAAATAATACAAGAAATGAGGGGAGAAATCTTTAGCGAAATAGCATAAATAAAAAACAAAACTTCAGGAAACAATGGACACACTTATAGAAATGCAAAATGCTCTGGAAAATCTCAGCAATAAAACTGAACAAACCAAAGAAAGAAATTTAGAGCTTGAAGACAAAGTTTTATAATTAACCGAATCCAACAAAGAAGGAAAAGAATAAGAAAATGTGAACAAAGCCTCCAAGAATTTTGGGATTATGTTTAATGACCAAACCTAACAATAAATGCTGTTCCTGAGGAAGAAGAGAAATTCAAAAGTTTGGAAAAGATATTTGGGGGAATAATCAAGGAAATCTTCCTGGGCCTTGCTACAGACCTAGATATCCAACTGCACAAAGCTCAAAGAACATTTGGGAAATTCGTCACAAAAAGATCACTACATAGGCAGGCACATTGTCATCAGGTTATCTAAAGTTAAGATGAAGAAAAGAATCAGGAGCTTTAAGGCAAAGCAGCAGGTAACCTATAAAGGAAAACCTATCAGATTAACAGCAGATTTCTCAGCAGAAACACTACAAGCTACAAAGGATTGGGACCCTGTCTTCAGCCTTAAACAAAACAATTGTCAGCCAAGAATTTTGTATCCAATAAACCTAAGCATCATAAATTAAAGAAAGACACACCCTTTTTCAGACAAACAAATGCTGAGATAATTTGCCACTACCAAGTCAGGCCTACAAGAACTGTTAAATAGAGCACTAAATCTTGAAACAAATCCTGGAAACACATTAAAACAGAACCTCTTTAAAGCATAAATTTCACAGAACCTATAAAATAAAATTTAAACAAACAAGGTATACAGGCAACAAATAGCATGTTGAATGAAATAGTACCTCATATCTCAATACTAACATTGAATGTAAATGTCTGAATGCTCCACTTAAAAGATACAAAATTGCAGAATGGAGAATTCACCAACCAGCTATCTGCTGCCTTCAAGAGACTCACCTATCATGTAAGAACTCACATCAACTTAAGCTAAAGGGTGGTAAAAGACATTCCATACAAACACCAAAAGCAAGCAGGAATAGCTATTCTTATATCAGGCAACACAAACTTGAAAGCAATGGCAGTTAAAAAAAGACAAAGAGGGAAATAACATAATGATAAAAGCCCTGCCCAACAGTAAAATATCACAATCCCAAATATATATGCACCTAACACTGGAGCTCCCAAATTATACAACAATTACTAATATGCCTAAGAAATGAGATAGCAACACAATAATAGTGGGGAAGCTCAATATTCCACTGACAGCACTAGACAGGTCATCAGAACAGAGTCACCAAAGAAACACAGGATTTAAACTCTACCCTGGAACAAATGGACTTAATGGAACATTCCACCCAAGAACCACAGAATATATATTCTATTCATCAGTGCATGTAACTTTCTCCAAGATAGATCAAATGATAGGCCACAAAACGAGCCTCAATAAATTTAAGAAAATTGAAATTATATCAAGCACTCACTCAGACGACAGTGGAATAAAACTGGAAAATCAATTCCAAAAGGAACCTTCAGAACCATGCAAATACATGGAAATTAAATAACTTTCTCCTGAATGATCATTAGGTCAAAAATGAAATCAAGATGGAAATTTGAAAAATTCTTCAAACTAAATGACAATAGTAACACAACCTGTCAAAACCTCTGGGATACAACAAAAGTGGTGATAAGAGGAAAGCCATAAATGCTTACATCAAAATGTCTGAAAGAGCACAAACAGACTATCTAAGGTCACACCTCAGGGAACTAGAGAAACAAGAACAAACCAAACCCAAACCCAGCAGAAGAAAGAAAATAACCAAGATCA